GTATAAAGAATTATATTTAGAAAAAGAGAAACAAAAAGGCATAAATAAATTTCGGGATTCAAGAACCAAGGGAAGATAAAGGGTAAATGCACCTGTGACATTACCAATGGTTCTAAGCCATGTCACTCAAAGTATCATGCCATTTATGTAATTAGTCGTGCGGACTCTAATCAGGTGGTCTACAATACCTACAAAGTTCAGACCAATAGTCAATGACCTTATGGACTGAAGACATGTATTGGTTCGGTCCTTCTTAATTTTCGCCCAACTTACTCCTACACTAGACAACACCCTCCGTCGGGACAGACGGTGGTTGTGCATACGCAACACATATTCCAGCCACCTCAGTTGACGAACATTTATCTCATCAACCGATTAGTCATCTTTATTTAGTGTCCTAATCTTAATGGATTGTTCACTTGGTAGTCCCAAAATACACGAGCAATGGTACGAATAGATCTATGCTCAAATGCTATTAGCCTACGAATATTGTGTATTCTTAATGGTCACGCTTCAAGCCCATAAAGTAGAACAGAGCGAAATGTTGTGCAGTGAACTTTTCCTTTGGTTGGTAGACGGACACTTCACTCAAGCCACAAGAGACGAAAGTGATAGAAGCTAGACGGGCCTTCTGAATATGTGCCGAGATTTTATCAGGAGCTAACTCCCCAGGAGCATATGTATTTGGTGTCTCTTTGTACTAATGTTTATGTGTTTAAATAAGTGAATATAACTCGCCAGAAATTATGAGACTTCAGAGACAAGTACACTAATCGACGTGCTCAACTACTTTCCTCTTATCATTAGTTTAGGCGCTGACTCAGATCAGCTATTAATGAAATGAGAAAATTTTTTTAAAGTGGCATCATATATATTTCATACAATGAGTTTCACTCCTTTGATTTTCATTTAGATGAAGGACTGCTGCATACGCTTTGCGCACAATTGGATATATTCACAATGATTAATATTATACACTTACTTCATTCTGCCATGGTATACTAACGGCACCAGAACAAAACTTCTTATAAAATTCTATATCTTTATTGTCTAAAGTAACACCTTTAATTGTAGAGAACTGTTCAATATCTAAAACATCCTTTGCGTAAACTGCATGAGGCTGCAAGATAGACAAAAAATAAATAGGAAAAACTGAAAACAAATAAACAAACAATTGGTAAATTAACAACAACCAGGTTAACTTAAAGTAGAATGATTTCATTGTTATAAAAGTAAAAAGATATTCATTCACTGAAGAAAAAAACCAATTTCAGAATTCAATATGTAAAATTTAAGTCAAAATTGACCAATATAGCCAAAGGTAAGTCACAATTATTAAAAATAATAGAAAGAAGTCAGTGAAGCAAATATTCTTTCCGACGAAATCATTTACTTAAGCTGTATATTCGTGTCTATAGTTATTTGATGGGTTCGTAGAAGAACAGAAGAGATTGCATCATAGAGTAGTGATCCAAGATTTCAAGTATTAGAAGGTTGTGTAAGAAGGTGAAAATAATTTACGGGTCGGAATTATGACAATGTTTCACCCAATAATCTACAATGTCAAAAGAATTGAATTAGAGGGAAGTTAAATCAAAACCTTATGCATTACTAAGGGATTGGTGATCTATCAATTTAGGCCAATCTTTCATCCCACCATGAGTCTAATTCCCTTCTCCAGTATGTTTTGGCCTTGTTTCTGCTATTATTATTTTGTGATTTTTCTAAAAACCATAATCAATTATTACTATCGTCTAAAGATCTTCTATGATTATTATTCAATTATTATCATGACTTGTACGCTTTTTATTCCTTATTCATATCTTTTAGATGGACAACCTTATTTTGATATTTGAAATCTCGGATCACTATTTTATGACGCAATCTCTTTTATCCTTCTATAAACTCATATACATACTAATTAACTGCAAATACGTCGAAAAGAATACTGGCTTCGCTCAATTCTTTTTTTTCTATTTATATTCAATGATATAATTAGTAATACATTTCACTAGGTACATATTGACGTACATGTCATTCAATCACAATTTGTGGATTGAAGGGAGGAGAGCGGTGAACGAAAAAGATCGAGTGATATTAATCTATCTTAACCAGGGCCCACGTATTAAGGTCTTTGATTTCAGTTTGCAATGAAATGTCTAAATTATCGGGTTGCACAAAATACCCAAGTGTAAATATTATGAATATTGAGGTTTGGATATGAATAACTTATATTCCAATTATTTAATGAATGTAACAGAATTTGTTTGTATTTTTTTATCTAATTAGCTTAACTGAGTTATTTAAAGAGAAGCTCACAACTGACCAACCATACACATACAAATAGGTGAGAAATTCAGACAGAACTATTGCAGTGAATGGTATATTTTTATCTTTGTTTATCATTCGAGAGAGCGAAATCCAAGTACATTAGAATTCATGAACATTAATTCAAATAAAATTCCTCTACAATACCCTAATTTATTATATACAACATATGTAAAGGTAGAATTAGTTCAAAACTTCTAGGTTTGAAGATAAATAAACATTTTTTAATGATCGGCGCAAAGATATTTCTTAAACATGTTCTTCTTAGGCATTTGGAACTGACTGAGACAGACAAAATCTAACCAGTATTGAAGTATTTGTATGAATGATTTCCATTCATGCAAAAACACCTAATCGACTTTTTCAAAAAATTTCATTAAGTTATATATTTAAAACAATTATTTATATTAAAACATATGGTTGATGAAAATATGTTTAATTTTGAGAGGTTTTTATCAATGGAACCTAGCGTTAACCATGTAAAACTGAACTAAATTCATTCTAATGTGTGACATATCAGTTCTGCATAGTGATAACGGCTTAAGTGATTGAATATGTTCCATTTTAATTTCACTACAAAGAGCACAATGGCATTTAAGTGATTCAACTGAAATTTCATAATTTTAATTATATTAACTTTAGAATACTAGTGATATAGTATAATCATTATCGAATAATATCGGTGGGCAAATATCTCACACTATAGAAATTAAATTATACAGAAGCGATCTGTGTTATGATCCTTATGAGACCAGGTGGCTATTCGTTTGAACATGTGTGGGGGCTAAGATGTTGAGGAGCCCCAAAGCAGGACGAAACACCCATTAGCATGAGCGAGTTGAAATGTAATTTTCAGGGTTATTTACAGCTAGACAATACTGTTTGTTAACAAAATCTCCCCTTAGAGGTGCGTGTATGAGCATGAGAATGTGTTAGTCTTCAGTTAGTCGCAACGTAGAACGCAGTACGTATTTATATAGGTTCAAGTTGCTACAACTTATTAACATAGACAGATGACATAGTCAAGGCAAATCCCATAGCAGTAAAGGTAGTGATAGTATTGGCGATAATAGAAAATATTAGGCATAAAATATACGATTCGAGAAAATACAAATTGTTGAAATAAAAATAATTCTAAGGAATTCAGAAGCTTAGAATATGGGGGAAGATAAATAACGGATGCACTTGCGCCATTTCAAATGATTTTGGATTATGTCATTCGAAGTCTCTAACCAATGTTTACGATAATCAAAAGGACCCTGACCAGGTAGTTCATACTTGTTAACATGACTCAGTTCAATTGACAATGACATCATGGCCTAACGTCATGTTTTGGTTTGACCGCTCCTAGTTTTCTTCCGCTCTACAACAAGCTGACGTTTATGACCATTTAATATACAAATACATATACAATATACAATACAATTAATTTTCCCATTTTAGCAATCGATAGCAACACTTTTCTTCAAAAAAACTGATACGTCGGTCGAATTAATACGCCTTAGATATCATTTTGTTTTAAAAACAAAAAAATAACAGCACGAACAAAACGGTTCTAAAATGTGACCTAGTGCATGTCTGTGTACTCAAATTTTTTGTATATTTAGTGCTTGCGTTTGAAAGATAGCTAGTGATACTATCCAGTCGGTCATATGCACACATACGTAAAGGTGAACAAAGCGCTTTTTTGAAAATTAGAACTTAATATTTCAAAGCCGTATGGATTAACTATTAATAAAGATTTTTAAAAAGACTTCATTATTGTCGTAATTTAAATGAAGAGCAGTTGTTAGTTAGATTACTACTGAAAACCTGGAAGCACCGGACGGCAGTTTCACCCTAGTAATGGGACTTCTCAGAATAGCGCATTCATGACCTCGCAGCTTGAAATCGAACCCAGGACTTTCAGTCTTGCGGGAAGACGCCTAACCTTCAAACCACTGAGTCGGCATTCAACGGTTTTAATGTCACAGAAATGCGCAAACACCACCTATTTTCTGTGGTAGATTACCGTCTTACACTCGACGTGGTTGAGTCCCGTTGGTCACGGATTCTCACTAGGACTCCAAGAGTTCCATCTTGAAGCTAGTCACTAGCGAGAAGATAATTATTATTAGCATAGTAAAATTTGCTACGATTGAAGACTTTTCAGTATAAGCCATTATTCATGAATACGGGGTCGTGGATGCACACCGGTGAAGAGTCCCGCACTAAGTCGGAATGGTCACCCAGTGCTTCCAATTTTTCAGTAGTGGCCTAAGATCAGCTCGTAATTTAGGCCATGAAAATTCCGCAATTTACACAAGTCCCCTTTGACTTCCATATGAATTTATTCATTATGGTCAAATAAGATCTTACTTTGCTTTCAAAGTATATCATAACTAAACACTACACTAATAACATAATAAACGCGAAAGTTTATACATCGATTCGCTGAAGAAAAAAGTCCTTGTTTACCTAACAATAATAAAGACAAAACATAAAATGATCTTGTTTTACTATCAGCATCCATTAATTTCAAGAGACTAGGAGGAATGAAACTAAGCAAAACAAACTGTAAGAATTGATATCATCGTCATCATCATCGAAAAAATTACGTAATCACGAAAAACTAAACGACAATTTTATCAGTCTAGTATGCAAATATACACACCATTATAGATTGAACAATTGAGAAATTTGACGTAATGAATTACTTCAAGTCATAATTTCAGAATTACATGTTAAACCGAACACAAAATTTAAGTCATACGTTACAAGTAAGCAAAAATTAAATTTATAACCTAATGATTTTAAAATTAAAAGTTAACTGTAAAAGTATTAAAGGCTATTTCAATGATTGGTACTTTGGTGAAAAACTGGACAGTCGTTTCGTCATCCACATCCACAACACTCCTAGGGACCAAACGAAACATGTTCAGGTCTCGTGGTGAACGGTTAACTATTAGATCAACAGTGTATGGGCTTCAATAGTACAATTGAATCTTCAATCAATCTTCAGCATAGCTCAACGATCACTCATTATCATTAATGAAAACTATTTTACTTCCATTATGTCTGAACTTTACCAGCCATGATAAAACAATTATACAGTGTCCCACTGTTTTTAATAATACCTCAACTTATGTCAACCTACGATAAATGCAACCTACTAATTAAACTAATTTCCACAAAAAACCTTATTAACTAAAAGAATAATTCACACCCGGAGTCTGTAACCAGAAGGTCTAATCCACAAGGCAGTGGAGCATCGTGAGGAGATAAAGTCCCATGGTAACCGGTGACCAACGATTGGTTCATACGCCATTTGTTCCCTCAAGATACTGGAGCCGATGTGCACCATTGGTTTTGGATCAGGTTAAAGCGCCGGACATTCGCTTTTCGTCCTCTCATTTTCGTAAACAACTACCCCGCCACGAGAAGGCAGTGAGTAGGAGTTCCCTGGCAGAGGATGTGTACGCGTGGCCGTGTGAGAGCATTTAGAAAGGGAGGGCGGGCCCACCCCACTCTCGGCCATACCAGGGCATTTGGGGGCTCAACGTAAATCAATTACAAATAATAAAAAGTTATGATTATGAAATGATGAAATTGTAATCAAAGTGCTTATTTAAGAAAGTGAATTTTACATTGTAATCACGTATGGGGATCAAGTGTTACATTTAATATGATTGAACTATAAAAGTTAACTAGATATTTCTTATATTATTACAATTAAATTTAACATTATTCAAGAAATTTTAAAAAGATTTATTTCCTTTTTCTTTTCACGTGTATATGTTGAATAAAATTTTCTTTCCAAAGAAAAACTTACTCAAATTAATAATTTTTTCATAAGTTCTGCATTTCTAGAAAAATGATGCAACAAATTAATGATATTTTTTTGTGTTATCGTAAATTGACTTAATTTATTTACTTTTAAATCTATAATTTATATACAGTTTGATATTAAAATTTTAATTATTATTATTAACCTAAAAGCTATAAATATGTGTTTCGACTTTCATGAGACTCATCAGAGAAATGAATGTTGGACTTGTTACATTCGATACTTCAACTTATTATTTTATCACTACTAGCAAGATATTAAATGATCTTATTTAAATGAGTATTAAGTTATTGAATTAATATTTCACTGTTAGTTAGACAGTATTAACCAATAAATATATGTCCACTTGGTTTATTAATAAATTTATGTTATAACTTTAATTAGGTTGAAGTAGCTGTTTAGCCTAATGCCCAATGCTCTTAAAAAGTATGAACCATTATGTTAGCTACCCAATTTTCAAATATTGTGATGTGAGATCAAACCAAGCTCTATCGGTTAGTAATTGAACTTTTAAATTGTATCGTTAACCATCAATATATATTATATGAACTTTTATTATTCGTAAGAAGTATAATGTCCGGACTGATAAATTTATTAATCGCCTACACATATTTCTTTTCGTAATGCGTTCAAAAGTGGTAAACTTACATCAGGAAGAAATGGTGCATCCTCAAGTCCAGCCTCTAAACGTACCCAATTGATACAGGAAAACCAGTTGTGATGTTTAACACCTTCGGGACCAGCATCATCGCAACCAAGTCGACAATGTGGATCTTTTTGTAAAAGCTTTAAAAAAAGGTATGGCGAGGAATGTAGATTCGATTATACAAGGCAAAAAAGAACTCTAGTGAAATTTCACAAAGCGAAAACTAACCATCGCGAATGTAGATTAAGAAAGTCCTTAAAATCAAACAAGATTAATTATTACTACATGTATACTTAAAATATTAATAGTTGTCTACGAAAAAAACTCGAATCCGTTAGCCGAACACTATTAGCAACAACCTACTGTGGAAAAGAACAAACCAGATCCCAGCGGAGGAAGAAATCAGGAAGAAGCGCTGGAAGTGGATAGGACACATATTGAGAAAACCACCCAACTGCGCCAAGACAAGCCCTCACATGGAATCCTCAAGGCCAAAGAACACATTACGCCGGGAAATGGAGATAGATATGAGAAAAATGAACGAGAATTGGATGGAACTAGAAAAGAAGGCCCAGGACAGAGTGGGTTGGAGAATGCTGATCGGCGGTCTATGCTTCATTAGGAGTAACAGGAGTAAGTAAGTACATAAATTATTAATCGAAAAAATTTAAGCAATTTTTTGTTATAACTTGTGACCCGCCGATTAGAGAGCAGCGAGTTATCGATCGAAACAGTGACGCATAAAACACGTGCGAGCAGCCTAGAGTCCTGATTGGCCCTGCTTTCTGCCTAGCCCAGCAACTTGAGTCCAGAACACAAATCTCAGCCTCGGTGATATGAATCATTATATTTCAAACATACTGAGTTTATATATCAATCAAACAGACCACAACGTACCAATAAAATATGAAACAACATTTGTACAAGAATTAGCCAGATATGGCTGTGAATGAGGGAGATAGTAATCAATAGACAGGCCATAACTCAAGAATGGTAAGTCGTATAGTAATAGTTCATAGGTCAAAATAAAACTCATAATAAGAGGGACATGGACATGAACAGATTAGTTACATAACAATTATACGATAAAAATATACTCGTAATATCAGTCCATAAATGGATCCCAAAATTACCATTCACTATTCTTATCGGAATACAACATTTTTATAGGTCACATAGATTATCAGATGAAATCAACAATATTATTATTATTCACCTAAGAAATTCGAACTAAAAGCCAATTGCACTTAAACTCCAGTATCTAATTCAATGATCTGGTTACATGTTCCTGAAGGATAGTATTTTTCTAAAGTAGAAGTATATTAATAGCCCATAAATAATAAATAGAACCCTATATCTTTTGTATTACACAGAATACCAAATGAAATTTTTTAAAAGAAAAACAGATTAGCCAAATTTTTGTATTTTGTTTTTGTCGGATGTGTTTGCCTTCGATCGTGGGTGAATGAAAAGCATTCAAACCTCTTACGGAATACTATCACTCTACAGATTTCATATACACATACATTGTTGACAAGTATCAATTGGCATGAAATTTCGGTTTTCTACCAATGGCTTTCATTTATTAAACATTAAAGAAAGTGCACATTGTGTAATCTATCAAACCATGTAGATTAGCGAACATACTATAGTGTTAAATGAACATTTGATCGCATGATATGATAAGATAGCACACAATATCGGTTCCTATTAAGTGATAATTAATATAAACTTGTATATGCAAGCTTGAACATACTATAATTAGAAAATCATAGAGTAAACAGATTATGATTATATATATATATATATATATATATATATATATATATATATATATATACTAATCCATAAGTGAGTATCCAGGACTTCGTCACAGGGAATCGGACTGGAGACCTTCGGTTTCAATTGCAAACGCCTAACATTTAAACCACTGACCCGAGAAAAATTGGTATACATGACTAAGATAGCAGAGATGACCAGTGCTTCTTGATTTTCATTGATAGTTTATTTACGATCAGTTTATGATATAAACTACAAAAACCCTATCATCTCCACAAAACCCTTTACTGATAAACAAAGAGGTTTGAATTGCTTCTACTTTGATGAAACAACAATCACTGAATTATTAAAGTCTAATAGTCCTTAGTGCTGTATTTGTAGCTTGAGTGCATCATAATATCCTTCTTTTATTTTCTATCTATTACTAAACCCTACTTTATTATTTTTGTTACTATAATAATATTATTATAACAGGAATTCTAGTTATCTTACAGTTCAGTTAAGCAAGAAAATTTATCCATTATGTTATTACATCTATCTAAGCCAAGACTTTAATCCTCTACAGAATTCTTTGTATTTATTCTCTTCATCCAGTATTTTGTTTCTTTCTTCAACCATTAGAATATTCCTTACATCATTCAATAAGTAATCGATGAAATAATAATAATAATAAGTAAGTTTTTACTTTGAATGATAAATTTATTACGCCACAAAATAAATATAAATCAATCAGTTGTGTTTACGTCATAATATTGACAGGAAGTAGATATGCAATATATAATTTGTAAAAATATTTTGGAAAAAAATACAAATTGTTGTACATTATGTAAACAGACAATGATTTTTAAATTAAAAAACAAATTTATAATAAAAATTATTTGTTTTCATTATTTTATTTAGTTGAGATCATGAGTTAATTTAGTTTAGAAAACTGAACTTTTCAAAAACAAAAAAGAACCATTTCACTGTGCAACGACATACAAATAATTTCTAGTGTCAGAAGGGGTTTTGTGAAGATTGTAGTAATTTCAATAGTTGAGATCATGAGTCATTTGAAGCTAGACTACCAAAGTTAGACATTAACACCGTTGGATGCCGGTCGGCTCAGTGGTCTAGTGGTTAAGCGCTCGCGCGCGAGACTGACAGGTCCTGGGTTCGAATCCCGAGAGGCGGGGTCATGGACGCACGCTGCTGAGGAGTCCCACAATAGGACGAAACGGCCGTCCAGTGCTTCCAGGTTTTCCATAGTGCTCCAGCTTCAATTGACTTATGATTTCAAGTATTGAAATTTCTAGTGTGTTTAAATTAGAGAGATGATTTTTATATGTTTGTTTGTTAATAAAAGTTAACATTATTAATGTTATTGTGATTTTATAAATTTATTTTTTAACTGTGAATAACATCGCTGTAATCAAGTACAGGTTGATGTAATCAGTATTCACTTACATTTTCTATGTGTGCTAGTTAGTTGGGGATAGTTGATAAGAACCTTTGGATCTAAGTTTCATGCTAGTTGACATTCGTTAGAAAAGTACACCTGAAATCTAAAGGTAACTAATGGTCCTCGAAAGATTCGAATAGGGGTCATTCAACTTAACAATCTAGGAATTTACCACTAAGTTATTCGATTAGCAACTGACCCCTTATAGGATTGAGTAGTGCCTAATGTCATATTCGTTTGGCTCCTTTACCACTGATCACATTCTCTAGAATTTTCTTGACAAGATGGAGTACACAGGTACCACTACTCAACATTGCAAACTGAAACAGTTGCACTGAGGCTCTACATCATCCCATAATGATAATTGAAAATTAAGTTCCCAGAATGGTTTTCAACTGTTAAAATAATATTTGTACATGTATGTTAAACGGAAGCAAAAATAATCCACAGCAGAAAACCTAAAACATCAGAAGTAATATGTTAGGGAGTTCCGAAATATCGTTGAAATGTCTCTAAAGGCCCAGAAAAGCCAGGAAACGTCTTAACCAATCGGTGTTGAATGGAATCTTCACAGAGACGCAGAATTACATGTCACGGTTTTGATTGGATATTTAGCACAGTTCCATAAATGTCTATAAGCCCAAGGTCGTACATAACTCTACAAATACAGTCGTTTTTGTGCAGATGAACTAATTTGGGAGTAAAACTTTTACTAGCGATTTGCACCTTCTCTTGTTTCCGTTGACGTCTAGGAGTAGTTGGGGTTATAGGAACCGATTAGGAAGACACTTTAGACGTATCAGTAACAGATTTATCATAACATATTTTAACTGTTGAGAATTTTGCAAATGTAATTGATGTATTTCACTCTGTTTATACAATTAACGCTGAAAACATATGGACCTATTCCATTAACTGACGGAACTTTGAAATCTATCATGATGATATATACGTATGCTCAACTTTCAGTAAATTTCTAGTCTCAATATTATTTGATACAATTTTATTCCTGAATTTCTTTAATTACATATTCGATCTTTAATTTTTCTCCAATATCAATGATACTAACAAACTTGTTTTTCATCACATTAGTTTACTCACTCCCTTAGTATGCTGACGTAAAGTGTAGTAACTCAAGTTAAATACTGTTTATGACTCTAAACAGACAGACTGATTAAACAAGTTAATTCAACTCTACGTTGATGGAAAGCACTTACATAAATTGACTTTTGCAATAACAAGAGATTATTCATACAATTATATAATATTAACTTACAGACTGACAAAATCTTTTTGAATTATCTGAAAATTTATAATTATATTCTTCTGTATCCTCACATACACGACGATCAACTTCTTCACGTCGAATACGTTCTTTACGTCGACGAAATGGTGCTTGTCCCATAATCATTTCATAAACAATACAACCTAATCCAAACCAATCGGGACTGAATGTATAACGTGTATTCATGACTACTTCAGGTGCTATATTGGTAATAAGTAAATTGAAGCAAATAATAATAATAATAATAATAATAATGACAATAATAATAATAATAATAATAATAATAATAATAATGGGCAATTGACTTGATGATAACTTAATGACAATAAAATTTAAATTCAGTGTAATTATGTCACCAAGATAACAATTCACTAGATCGATTTAAATTACATTTAAAACATACATATTCTACCTATACAAACACATACAATGAATATACAACATCAACTATACAACAGATTCTGTAAGCAATGAACAACAATTTTCATTAAATGACTGATCGTCTTAGGCGGATTTCATTTGCAGGATATCCAGTAATTATTCAATTAAAATTAAACGTATAGTTTGAAGTCAAAGGATTAACAATAATGAGAAATATTCAACTCAAAATTCTATTTAAACAATGAGTGTTTGAAACAAAATGATGAAAATTGTGAATACATCGTTTTTACCTGTTTACATGTGATGTAAGGTGTGGGACTTTCAGAATTGACAACAGTTGTTAATTGGCCCTGATAGTTTAAAAATGCTTGGAGAAACGAGACATTTTCGAAAATCCCAAGCGTCAACCATTTGTAGGTTTTTAATAAGAATGCAGACCCCACTTCGCAGAAGCAATAAGTCAGATCACTTGGAGATAACACTGATAATCAGCTCTGAGGGATTTTTTAATATCGAAAGAGTGGAATCGTGAGTGTTAAATCATTTAGCTTAGAGGACCGTGGAAAATTATGGAGCACCTGAGAGCTGCTTAGACTTATTTAAGAACTCCAACACTACACATTCATTAACTAGCTAGAGGTCGATGGAGTTTAACAGTGTTGGAAGTGGGACAGATAACACTAACTGGACTGTATAATTGTTGTGCTATATTCCGTGAACCATTGAATTTCGACTCAGTAGAATAGAAAATATAACATTCAGTTGAGAACAGTGCAATTATGGTTTTTAAGTAACTTGAAATGTATTAGTTTTATCGGTGCACTACCATCATATACCTTTCCAGTGAATATCCGAGCTATGGTTCAAATTCATTAGTATATTGCAATAATATTTTATTACAAATTACTCACTTATTATTTCTGAGCATAATTTGTAAACCCAAATCATTCCTTTATGAATTACTCACGTAATTATTCAATGGTAGGGCGATAATATTACAATTCCGCGTGAAAAAATATAAATGAGAATTCCAGATTTTATTTATGAATTAAAATCTATGGAATCAGCAACGTTTGATGTTTGTGTCAACAACTCTGATATTTGAATTAAAATACTGTTCGGATTTCAATAATAACTTTCAATTCAATGTAGCAAAAAAGAGAATTTATGGACAGTAGATTACCAACATCTATATAATGTAGTCTTATACCATAGTTCAATATTTGATAAAAACTATTGCTCAAAGAGAAACTAGTATGTCCCAAGAAATATGTTACTGCATTTACAAAAAATAATATCGTTGCATAACACGTTTGCATATGCCTATTCACAGATGACCCTGAAAGCATATGACAAAACAAATCAGAAGGAAGTGTATTCAAGGTCATTGTATCGAACGTAGCATATGAACTCACGGTGGGATTTCCAGTCCTTAAAGGTGAAAAGTCTAATTGTGCTGATAAACAAACGATATTATATATATATATATATATATATATATATATATATATATATATATATAATAGACCATTTAAAAATAGATAAAACAGGTGAGTGCTACACTTACCCATATAACCAGCTGTTCCAACTCTTCCTTTAGCTGTACCACCAGGTTCAATATATACGGCCAAGCCAAGATCCGAAATTCTAACATGTCCTATTTTTAAGAAATATTATGACCAATGAAACTAATTAGTAAATAGAAATGCTTAATATCTTTAAAAATATACTTTCAAAACCATCACATATACTTTGTAGCATTCCATTAAACTAAGTAAAAATACGAAAAGTTAGAAGTTAGGACGAAAAATATCAGTTTATGGATTTTCCATTAGTATATTCAGTATACTTGTTGTGAGAGAATAAGTCTTCCATTTTTTTGTTTTCTTCAGGCTATTTACTAGTTAAACAGACATATGACCAAAGGAAAGAGAAAAAAAGAGTATATTCAATCGGATTAATTTCATGCCAACGCTTTTCATTGATACATCTTTCATAAATTAACTATCAAAAGACACTTTTATGTTAAGAATGAAGTGATTTATGTCGACTAAGATTTAAAATGTAATTTTTAACCCTAAAAATGTGATCTGTTTACGATGAATAAACAAGTCTACAGTTCCTAAATTTATCGTTTGTCAAACTACAAAAGTAATCATCATCCGTATCAAAACAATTTGACTCGTGAAATGATGAAGATTTGTAGCTTAGATCAATGCTTTTGGATACATTGTGTCTGCAGAGCTCTATATGGTTCAATTCAGAAGCGTTATTAGTCGCTTTAAACAACACTATCATAGCTTACTTCACGTAAAATTTATCCAGAACGATAATGAAAGCTTAGCGATCGAGCCATACAGCTAAGAGGACACAATGCAACCAAAACGTCAACTTGCTCATTTTAAAGAAACCAACAGGAATTAATGGCTGTCGAATTAATAAACACATATAACACCTTATGATTCGTATTTTATACACAATTTCGTTAATTTTGAAAAAACGAAATTTGTTGTGTGTTTTATGTTCAAATACGCTTGCAACATGAGTACGAAAAAACTAGTTCATTTACCGCAAAGAATCACACATAGAGTTGGAAATCAAATTCAAAGAGGCTCAATAAATATTGATTTAAACTGTTCACTAGTCTAAAAGATATCCTGTCAATAGTACGGATAAATTTTGATACCTAACGAATTACAGATACACAATTGAAGAGTTTAAAATGGAATAATTGAATAAAACATTTTCATTTAACTAACTGGTCTTTAATAATAATAATAATAATAATAATAATAATAATAATAATAATAATAATAATAGTAATAATAATAATAATAAAGAAAAACATTTGTACTACTTCTGCATTCCAGAAACTATTTTGAAAGCAGGAAAAATAAATTAATTAATACGATTTTCCGTTAGAATGAAGAATATTTTATTTATTCTAACCAATCGCTTGAAAGATTCAATAAGAATCACTAGATTTGCCCGATGGAAAACCAGAGAGTAAAGAGCTGTGGTAAATAATAACAACTCAACGGCTTTCAGTTCTTAATATGGTACATCAACATAATGACAAATATGTTTTAAATTAATAAGCACCAAAATAAAGTTTACGATGATACAGTCGCTGAATGTATCTTTTGGCAGGTTTTGTTAATAACATATAAAAAGAAGCAGAAAAACCAAACTATTTAGAACTTGCTCATTTATAACCATTATTAAATTGATATCGACTTTAAAGAATGTTCTACTGAATCAAAGATAATACATACAGGCAAACAGAATAAACGTAATTTTAACGACATGCAATGAGAATGATCGAATAATAAAGAATTACCAACCTTGATCATCAATCAAAATGTTTTCTGGTTTTAAATCACGATAAACAATATTTTGTGTATGCATATGTTGTAAACCTAAAGTGATTTCTGCGGCATAAAATCTTGCTCGATTCTCATTGAAACCACTGCCATTATTCATATTATGTATATGAAATTTTAGATCACCACCGTTCATAATTGTAAGAACTAGGCACAAAGCATCTTTAGTTTCAAAAGTATACGCCAGATTGACCTGAATGCATAAGCAATAATAATAATAAATAGGATGAGATTATGAAGCAAACATGTGAAAATGTACGTCTGCTTTGACTGAAAATGAATTGTTTTAGTAGAATAGTGATGATAATGTATTAATCAATATCATATTGTCTATATCTCCAGCTTTTGTTGTTTCGATATATAATTTACTATGTGCATATTTAAATATTTAGCCTTGAGCTTCGATTCAAGCGTAAGGATTAAAGATATTACCCAACTGCCTAAAATGGAGTAGGTGAAGCAAGGTCAGAAAAATCTGTGATTCAATGATTGAAAGTCAAATGTTTTAACCAGAAAGTTGCCATTGTTGCTTTTTTATATCGTAAATGAACAAGATGACCATTTGAACAACATTCCCTGACTTTCTCTGTTCTTGTTTAGTTGTTGTTAATTGCTGCCTTCTTGTCCTTCCTTTCTTGAATTTTATCCAGGGTTTCGATAGAGATATATCCCTTATGATGATGCTTTTTATTACCCAGCACCTCCTGACACGTTGAACTTAGTGCTTCTTTGATCCATTCCCAGTTATCCTTTATAGTAGTTTGTTCTTCTTGCAGTAGATTCTGTAAGGCTTGGAACCTGTTGTTGCGAGTTATCTTGAACTCATTGAGTGTGCCAGTATGTCGATGGAAGGCTGTATTGAACCTTTAGCAATTGCTGTTTCTCTAATTGTTTATTACGTCATTAGCTTTAGTTTCATCCTGCTAGTCACCCAGTGATGATCCGAAGCTATGTCAGCTCCTCTCCTGATTCTCACGTCTTCCATTGAAATTTCTACGGACGCAAATATGATCTATCTGGTTTTCCGCTGTGTGATCCAATTAGAGCCATGTAGTTTTGTGTATGTGTTTGTGGGGGAATTTTGTGCCACCTATAACCAATTTATTGAATGTACATGGATTTGCAAATTTCTCACCATTCTCGTTTCAATCTCCTAGTCCATGTCGTCCAATGATATGTTCGTACCTGGTGTTGTTCTTTCTGACTTTGGAGTTTCGTTCTACTATCAGGATTGTCAGGTATTTTCCTGGGCACTTCGCCATGATTAATTCCATCCTCTCATAGAACTGACCTTTATCGTCGTCATCGCTATCATTGGTAGTTGCATAACATTGGATAAAATTCACTGTGATTCCCTCCTTATTTGATGATTCTGGGTCCATGAGATTGCCATCCTCTAAGTGCTTTACGTGCTTTTTTTGACAGCATCAGAGTAACTCCCTGAGAGTGTGGAGCATTTTCTTCGTGACCAGAGTACAGCGGCGCGTCTCCTGAATCTATCATTTTTCGTCCAGCTTGGGTCCAATGGGTTTCACTGATTTCGAGAACCGTCACGTTGTGTCGCCTCATTTCCGTTGTTATGTGACTGGTCCTCCCGGTCTACCACATTGTCTGGACGTTCAATGTACCTATAAAAATTGTTACTCTGGTTGTTAGAAGAAGCATCGTCCTAGCGGCTTCCGAAAAATCTCGACTTTCATCATGAGACGTCATAGTTCATCGTTTAAATCCCAGGGCATAGTTTAAATGGTTTAATTTGTTTGGCTTTTTTTCTACGGGATGGGGTTGGTGACCCCATGCCCAACCCTCCTTTACCCAGGCTTGGGACCGACAGTAATTCTAGAAGAGCCAACGGGCGGTAATATATATATATATATATATATATATATATATATATATATGACCGGATTCTCCTGATATGCAATTTGTCTTCAATTACAACCTCTGAATGTTGGTATTCTGTACTTAACATTATTGACTTACCCACACTGCTTGAGTTGTTGAGATATCGTCAACTCAAACTAAGGCACATTCGTTATAAGTTTGTAGCTCGTCGAACTTAATTAATTCATGTTTTTTACTAGTTATTTTTTGCATGATAAGATAACCCTAATAAAAGCGTGAATTAAATAGTTTGTTATCCTTTTCAAATAATAACTGTCAAAGTTATGCTTAATACAAAGTTGGCGGCAATTAAAGATGATATAGACTTGACGGCAACAAATTCTGGAAGTTAATTTATAAGAACTGCTTTTGCTAGTTACGTTTTTAAACCCTGTGATCACGTTCTGAGATAGCTTATCTGATTTTATGACCCAGAAGCTTTGATTAGATTGCTCTGTGTTATGTAGATTGTGAACATAGGCTTAAACGAAATTAAAGGTTCGTAATGAATTCCAATTACTTGAATGTTATAAAATATTTGATATAAATAACTGATATACAGTTCTTCTCAATGAAGTAAACAAGATCCTAATAATTGGACTCATTGAATTTTCTAAATAGGTCCATCGCTCTCAATCATGCTCATTGCCATGCTTGTTTACAAACAAAATGACCATAAGTTTAAGTATCAGTTATTCAAAAGACTAGATTATGCCTTATTTCAAACGTTTTGTGAAAAACATGAAAAATGGACTCCAGAGTAGCACGCTAAATACTATTTAGGACGTTAATGAAAAGGAAGGAAAATGTGATAGGGTGTGTTTTTAACTCCCTGTGTCTGACTCGATAATGATTGAACGATATTAATTTCAATGAGATATGTATCCTATTTACTTCATACATATTCTACCAACTAATCTTATTGATAACAACGTAGATATAAAAAGTCAAGTACGAAAGTATCTGAAGAACGTATATTTCAAGCATTTAACAACGAAAGAAAATGCATGTGGAATGCAATTTTAGAAATAACCAATTCAGTGAGTAATAGGTTATTCAGTCCTTATTAGCATGAAAGAGATACAAGTAAATATACGAACACAAACGTACTAGATACACACATGTATGAAGCATGCTCAAGGTAACACTTGAGTAATTAACAAGGGAAAATACATAGGTGATAAAATGAATGGAAAGATTTAAATAGTATATCTGTCCAAAGGTTAGACTAAACAACACAGGCATGTGAAAACAGAGATCTGATACTATTATTATTTATTTATTTAAGCACATAAACAATGGTACAAGGAGGCACCAGACAGATATGCGCCACATAAATCACTCAATTTATGTGAGGGCTGGAATGCTGCTCAGGTGCCCGAACCGAAATAGGTGGTTTCCTCAGGGACCTTACCTGGAGCTCCACTGCTTTGTGGATCAGACCTTTAGGTCGAAGGCTCGGGTTGTGGCCCCCTAGCAAAAACCAAATGAGATTTGTGTGACGCATATGTATTTGGTGCCTCCCTGTACTAATATCTATGTGTTCAAATAATAATATGATGTTATTGAACAGTATAGTGGCTTATTGGCCATGGGACTCAGATTCAAGAAGCAAGTTTCATGTTCAAACCATACCTTACTTGGTTTTGGTTGGGGAGCTTAACAGTATTATTACCCCTTACACAGAATGGTTCAAAACAGTAAATATAAAAGTATACTTAGTAAATGGATTAAATTATTAAGGCCAAAAGAGACACTAGTGCTAATCATGTTGAAGTTTAACACACACACTCAAAATGTTATGATTAGGAAACCAAAATACTTTGTTAGTTTTGGGCAAAAAAGAAAAACGTGAAAAGTAGCTCCAAGTAGTTACTCAGTGCAAGTAATATTTGGTGAATAGAATGGCATGATAAGTCTCTAACCATACTAGAAAAAAATACAATCAGTTAAAAGTTAACAAACCACAAAGCGAGAATTGACTCGTTGTAATGTTTCCTTTTCCATCATGGCCATATTTTCTGCATGACGTTTTTTCATGCGTTTCTTCTCCATTTTCTTGCATGCGTATAACTTCCCAGTTGCTCGAACTTGACAGGCACACACCTCTCCAAATCCCCCTTTGCCTAAGACTCGGTACATTCGAAAGGTGTGTTTGGTGACTGGTGTTCTGAAAGTGTAAAACAAACTGAAAACTTAGCTTGAATTCAGAAAAGTCTTGTCAAATTTTAAGACGTACATTGATGAAGGAAAATTAGATGAGTTATCCTACTGGCATCTAGGATCCATAAACAACAAGAATTAGCTATTTTTAATTTCCCAAAGTTATATTTCATTATTTAGAGGTTTCATAGGACACACATCGATGCCGTTTACTAGCCATACTCGAATAAAGCTGGATTCATTAGTTGAGTTCCCCTTCAATGTAACACCACAAGCACTCACTTTTATATGAATGTTATGGAATAACTTTTTTTCTTCCCAATATCTAGATAGTTAACATTTTACTGGAAGAATCTAATATCATCAATACACAGACAGTAAGATTGTGTTACGCAAAATATAGCCTTCTGAATGATGAACCTTACACGAAATAACAAGCATTTGAACCTGTGAAACAAACCAGAAATAGTTTGAATTCATGTATGAACTAAGTATAGTAGGAGAAGTATCGGCCAGTCGAACGATGAAAAAATTAATATGAGACAGAGGTATGTTTAAGCTTAAGCTTTCGCACTTAGCGTCAACAAACAGATAAAATCAATATCAAGGAAGGCGAGAGAACTAAAATCGCAACACTAACGACAAATTTCACGTGTTTATTTAAAATAAAGCTGTTGTTCAAAAATGTTGTTTTATAACATTTTCTCTGATGCTGAGAATTAATATGATATGATTAAGAATGCTTTTCAAAATAAACAAGATTATTAAACTTATCGGACGGTTGAATGCATGTTGAAGTTTATTAGCTCAAAATGCCATTACACATGACTTTGAATTACGACTATAGAACAGTTTAACAACTACTTAGACTGACACAATACTCAACTATAAAGTCAAAACTGAATATTCAGAAAGGAAATTTCTAACGCTATTGAACAACCAGTTAAAATATTACCACGAAATCTTTCAAAAACCTTTGGGGAAAGTATATCAAAGCAGTAAAGATGTGAATTTGTGACAGATAAATTTACTTTTCTAGCCATTTCCATTGAAGATAGCGATTGAAGTAGACTGAATTTAGAAATTCAGAAAATGGTGAATTTCGTAAGAAATCTTCAAGGATCTTGAGGATTGAACGAAAGAGTTCTTTGTCAGGATAGGCGTCATTCGACTCTTCTAGAGCATGTAACACTGAGTTATCGTCAATGTTTCCAAGCTGATGGAACCTTTTGCCACTCTAAGAGTAAAATAAGAAAAATGATGTGTTACCATGTCTGAGAGAAACCTGCGATAGATTTCCAATCCAATCTTTTGACGTTCGTTGGGAATGCACACCGCAAATGTGTTCTAAAGTTGAAAAAATCAAATCAGAATAATAAAGCGTACAATAGAATCCACAAAATCGACGACATCCGAAATGAAATTATTGCTTCTACAGAACAACCGAAACAGTCTCTTTCCGATCGGCTGCTGCTCCACAATAAAATCATAACTCAAATCTGTGCGCGAGAGGATTAGCAAAATCATTTCGTAAATACCTAAAGATTTCTTCAAGTATAAACAATTAGATATGTGAGGGAAGGCTAATAATGTTTTCCACTTTCGGCTTCGACCTTTGTCTCCATCAGCTCCACCTGGAATGAAACATTTCACTATATCCCCTTACTTCGTTTAGCCTTTATATACACCGTATTTGCAACAATATTTTCCAACTCCATACTTCATCATTAAACAGTAAAGTAGCGCATAGCTTAAGAATGCGACACTCACATGATGTCCAATAGACAGGAATTAATAATGAACTAGTATATGTGTCAAACGTCTTTCGATTTTGACGTTATTCTGTGCAGTTCTTGCAATTATTCAAATTTTTCACTAGGTTGGTGCGTTTTGTTTCTCTCATGTCTACTGATATGGTAAGCAGCTTGTTTTTACTAGCTCAGTTTCGTGACGTAGGTGGATAGGATTTGTCTGACTCTTCTGTTAACACCATTTCCAAAAAGAGGAATATTATTCCTTAATCAAACTGATGGTCTTCAAATCCACCCACTGCAGCCAGATTTTGATCATATCTACCTTAACATTCTCCTAAACAACAAAAATAAGAGGGAATTATCGCAATTCTGTATCAGATATCAGTAGCATTTCTGGGATATCAACCCTGCTTACAAGTGTCCTGAAATCTGTAAAGTCAGGACTCCATCAATCGTTTACACACGATGCCTCAAAATTCCTGCCATTAGCCTAGCAGCGTATATCCAGAACACAATTGCAATGTTTTCCTTTTATAACAGCTGTTCTCCACATTAACGATTGATTCTAAAGTAAGTCTGTTCAGTAATAGTGCGAGACTCATTTTTGATGATGGCGGAGAGCACAATTTAGTTTTTACCAAATAATCTCAGCCTTTCGGCGTAGCTTCTGTTACAGATGGTTATAATGTCATTAAAAATAAAGATAAGTAAAAAACCCTTTCATTCCAGGAAGTAATTTTAAAGCCAAAGAACGTCAAATAATCAAACCTATTATTATGAAACCTTTTCTAGGTCGACTCTTCTCCCTCTTACCGACCATTTCACAACTAGTAACTGTTTTGCAGTGGTTAAAGATAATTATAGACTGTTACTCGGACATGCTGTTTCTGAAAATCCAGGATAACCATAAACTAGACTTGTCAGTAGGAATGTTGACATCCTTATAGAGAACGAAATACAGTTTCAATAACTATCACCGAATGTCAAAACAGAACAAGTGAACGAACACTGACACATCAATCCGTCAAATCAACAATTGCAACGCACTCATTCACTAGTACAATACTGGCACAATCTCAGTCACAAATGTTTACATTGAATATTATCACTGATTCTAGATTTGAACCACTAACTGCAAATCTCAAAGTGCACAACTGAAAATGGTCACAATATGGTGACCCTGGCTACAGTGAAACCTATATCGGCCCGAGCGAACAGGATACGTGATTGAACACTGCATCTCTCCTGACGTCAGCAGTGATAAAAATTTATGACCAAATGAAATCATTAGAGATTAATTTGACATATAGTGGCCATGGTCTTTTAAAGGTAAATGCTCGGGGCCGAACTTATAAAAGTTGTCACAAAACAGCATGAGCTGGATCCCTTAGCCACATTCAAATAATTTTTTCCAGGCTGGAGAGGATTGGCGTCTAAATTGCTACTGAAAAAATGTCAAGCCCAGTGCAGTCCCAGAAAATTTTACTGAACGGTCTTTATTATTCCTGACCGCGTGAACCGTAGACTATTCTTCATGTGAGATAATTTCAAGTGCTAAAAGAGTGATTATTACTGTAAAGGTGAAATAATAAATGCCTAAAATTTAACTTCCGAAAATGCCGGACAGTTTTTTGATATAGTTGTTCCGTGATCAAGTAATATTGTTTACAGAAAAAAATACCAGTCTTACAGAAAAGATGCGCTGGGAATTCCTTCCAAGGAATTTCATCAGCAGTATTGTTGATTCACTTATCTTTTAACTTGTTGTGTATCTTAACATTACCGGGGTTTCTCGTGCTTGTGATTTTATATTTTTCAGTCTTATTTACTAGTAAATAATTATCTGAATCTGTCCAGCTCTTACCTTTGCTATATTTTTTAGTTATTCATGAACTCAGGTCATTAACAATAAGCCCGGTTTCGACTGTTCTCCACTTATTTCGGTTGACAATTGTTGTTTATTGACTGCCTGGCTGAACCGGCTATTCAAATCCCTGCAGACAAATATTTGATTCCTTTTTATCAAGAGCATTTTTATTGGTTCTTGGGTGCCGAATATTGACTTATTAACCATTTTTTCCCGTACAGAATGCTATTTAGTGTGACAGAAAACGTCACTGTGTAGCGCACGTTGTACAATTTGAAATAGTTTGTACTGTTAATACAATTTTTTTCTTTGCTTTGTATAAACTAAATAAATCAAACACAGAGTACATGTTTTAACAATTTAATGCGATTGGTTCAAAAAGGCTTTGTAATCTATAAATAAGAACGTAGTTTGGTCGGATCAAATAAAGTTTGCATTGCTTATCCACCGATTTCAGACTAAATACTGGAGATTTGTTTGATACAGCCGGTGATAACTATTAACCAAATGTAGCCTAATTCCACACGGTGACGTCTTCTATAGTATGGCAGCTTGTCAACCGACCCACCAGATTGTTCACTATTTAGGTTTCCTGTGTCAAATCATAGTGTTGAATACCCCATTCAGAGAAAAGTAACGAACAGTTAAAATAAGTCCAACAGAGATCATTGAATGAATATGCTCATTATCAGGGTTAAATCCGCTAAGAGAATATAAAGTATGAATCAGGAAGTCAAGAACCCTCAAAATACTATTGGATTAACGGTTTTCGCACTGAGAAATCAACTAGTGAAACTTGTTATCATTCTGTCGATGTTGTTGATTCCATGACTGACGAAGATAATATAATGAAATTTTCCAAATTACTTCAAATATTGTACCGTATTGTGCAACGCTGCAGAAAAAACTAAATTCTAAATGTGGTCCCAAGCAACCAATAAAAAGGAAATAAAGGTAAACAAAATAGAAATAAACCGGACCAAAGAGTAAATAAAAGGACAATTTTATGTGAAAAGCCCTCTGTGAAATGCCACTTTCTGTATCTACAGTTTCCGAAATCTCTCGAACATAATGCATTGTTACATAACAAAACAGAATAACTGTCATACATAAATGTCTAAACATATAGACACACGAAATTTCATGAGATGTATATGTATCCAAAATTTGCTGTTTGTCTGACAAATGAGTTTTGTCATGCTTGGTATCAATTTCAGGTAGATTATGACATGAGAGTGAGTGGCATGCTCTTTGTGTTTAGGTTCATAATCACTAACCACCTTGTTTGTCCTATAACATTAATCCATAGAAACACAGTAAAAAAGCTTGTAAACGTAGGGCAACACTGAACCTGTTAAGCGTCTCTGGTGGTAATAGATGTAGTAATATTCGAACGACTTCTATGACAAAAACAAAACTCGCTTTCGTTTAGCCAACTTACTAATGAAAGCACTATCAACGGCATTTGACTTTTGCAGTGATTTATGTTGCAATTATAGCAGTCAACACTGAGTTTAGTTGTAATGTGAGCCTGTCAACTGTGATAGCATCAGACAGAGACAAAAATGGAGGGCCCCTGGCCAAATATGTTGCGTGAAAAATTGAATTTGCCAATCCATTTATTGTAGGATGTGATGACGTTTACTTGACTTCCCATACGTCTGTAAACAAATCAACATGGCACTGATGAATTTAGTGACAAATGGCTGTCAGAGCACCAAAGATGCTGATTACGTTCTTCATGCGTTTTGAGATCTTGTTCCGGACTTACCAAGCAGCACGGGAAGTGCCATTTGAACGTGCACTAATGTTCAACCTAGGTTTATCAGCAGTGGTGTTTAATACCATGTCGGATTGAAAATCAATCTGCTAGAACTTGGACTTTGGTGGTTTTTTTGTGATTTTGATACGTCTAACTTGCATATCTCTGTAGAGAGACTATCTATTTCATGGAGCTTCAGTCAATAGTTACGGCCGATATTAGGTTACATCGTTGCCCCTGGGTTTAATGAGATGTTCATGTTAGGTGTCTATGGAGGGAATACCGAGCCGTGAAAATTCAACCAAAGACTTGTGGACACTATTTCCGAAGTAAGAGAAACGAAGGACGAAAGTCTTCTCAGTGTTTAGTTCGATAAAAACATAGCTGTTGAGCTGGTTGCTGCAAACTATGACGCACCTGCTCGTTCAGATGTTAGATACACAATTAATTACAGTCGAAAATCACGTTGAGATAGTTATGTTTAAGTTGAATATATCTGTTCACTGAGGTTCTATGGGTGCAGTGTTCATTATGAACGAACGTATCTGTAACACTTCACGTAGACAGTTGTTTCACACAACATGGCAACTCAATTTCGTTTACTAAATTTCAAAATTCATAAGGTTACTCTAGCTTGAGATAGTCAAACTGAATTCCGAGAAAAGCATGAAAATTCAAGTGCTTTTACTGTTTGACTTGAATTTTGATGAAGCCATTCTTTGCCATCCGCTGAATTTATTACTTACATGTGAAACTCTTTAAGTGTACTTTGTTAGAGCCTGACTGACTGCATATGTACTTATCAATTATGAAGTATTCTTAATCGATGACCTACTGGCAGTTATTTTTTTATAGATCTTCGTAAATTACGGTGGAACTTGGCATTCATGATGAAAATATTTGACGATCGTTGAGCGAATATCTGTCTACCATCAATGTTCCTGTACAACATGACGTTTATTTTATTTCAATAAAAATATTTTACATGCACTATTCTTTAATGTTGTTGTTGACTACAGTCGTTGTGTGGTTCGCTACGGAAATAAAGGCGAATATAGGAGACGTTTGAAGTTAAGCAAAAGGTTAACGAAAATCAATGCATTAAATGAACAATTCGGCTTGTATTTAGGTGGAAAATAGAAAATTCTTTGACATTTTAAACACAGAGCGTCAAGAAGCAGACTCTCCCCATTATTTCTCCACCACAATCTATAAAGCAGACATTTTGTCTTGTTTACTCATCATTTCACTTTTATTATCGAACGTATTTTCCCGTTTATTTCTCATTTGTTCGCTTTTGTTTTCACTTTATTGGTTGCCTGGTGTAGAACACTCCACCTCAGGCGTTCATATCCGCATAACCATAGGGATAGTATGAACAGAACAAAGTTAGTGTTTCCACCGATAAATGGGCGAATAGAGAAATAGTGATATAAATCAATACAGGTAAATAAGCTCGCACAGCACAAAGATTTCGTTAAATATGGATGGACACATACAAAGTAAAGTAATGTTCGCACCTGCAATTTACTCATTCTATAAAAATACTTTCATAAATGAATATGGAAAGCTGTAATACAATTCAATGTCTTTCTGTATTCCAAATACGTGAATGTATCATTGAATTTTGTTATTTGTTATACCAAGTTAAAAATATTCATGTTCAGAAGGCGTTAATTTATATCCCGCTTTCTAAAAAAGTCGAGTTCTCGTGACTTTTGTTGCTTAGGGTAAGCTAACAGACAGTTTCCTGCAGTTTTGGATGACCTCAAATTTAACAACTCCCGATTTGGTACTTTTGTACAAGTATGTCGATGAGACTCCGACTGCTATCAATATTGCCGTCCCGATAATTTCAATTGTGTTTTTCTTTGCATCTGTTGTTATAACCTATTTCATTGATGACCCTGGTATTAAAACCTTGAAAAATGCTTCACCAGAAGTAAATTTTCTTATCTTCGCTAAATGTATCTAGGATAATTTAAAGCCAATATCCGAACCCGATAGAAATCATCTTAGGTATTTAGCAGAGCGCAAGCTTTATGTTGACATGAAGGGTCACACATTTTCAGCGTTCACGCCTTCACGGACAACTACAGAGTCCGATACTCACGCTGGCCACTCGACTAGCGTGGATGGTGGACGACGCAGAGCATGCTCTGAATCTCATGCTCCTAGTTTTCCTGAAATGAATTCGGAAACACAAGTTTGTTATGAAATTGAGATTTATTTTTAGATTATTTTACAACACATGCTGATACGTGCGGGGCATGCACACAATAATACTGATAGCTTATTTTCCGGGAATTCCGGTCGTTCACGGTCTGGGTTTAGTAACCCATTCTCTTCCTTGAAAAAGTATGTGTGCATTTTTCATTTCTTACTTCATGTAAAGGCCTAAATCCACAAAAGTTGAGACTCAGGAATGCTGAATCGCGCAGATGCAGTTCAACATTGAACATAAACTGGATTCATAGCGTATTCATGGTGTATATCTACAGATACTGTTATTATATTTATTCTGTTGTTAGATAAAGTGTAATATTCTCAAAATAATAATCTCTGTGTATTTTTTACAGACGTTTTGATTTGACCTTTTAGAATAATCAATAACACATATTGTTTCCTTAACCGACTTCAATTTCATCATGCATTATTTTGTATTTATATGTTGTCTCCATTTTGTGTTCTAATGGATATCTTTGATTTTGTATTTAAATGTTTCCCATTACTCTCATATGCCACACTGTCTGGGGGTTGTTCATTTGACACTTGTACTGAGCCATGTTCAATCATTCAGCTACAATGTAGGACCAAGCACACATGTGCGTCGGTCCAAGTTGCCATACCTCATTAGCACAACAAAATGAACACCGGATTGATAGAAGTAGTTAAGTCAATAGTAGTAATATATAAAAGAAAGCTTGCATATAAGGATATAGTATAGGAAGAAAGAATTAGTTCGTAGAAAGAAAGATATGAAGCGATTTTAATCTCTTAGCTTAAGGGAAGATAGAGAGTGTATTCACCGACTCTATTGTGATCGATTCTGAGCCATATCACCAAGAGTCTCCAACTAAGTAGCTTGCATGTATCAACATGGCTCAGACCAGATGTTAGTGACTTCAAGCACTGATGCCACGTTTTGGTTTGACCATCCCCTAACTTTCTTCCAACCATCCCTAACACCAGTTAGCATTGCGCGTCGTGGTAATCGGTGTTCAGGCATACGTAACACGTGGCCCAACCATCTCAGTCGATGAAGATTCATAACCTCATCAACTGATTTACCATCATTCCCTAGTACCCTGCGTCTAACCTCACTATTACTTACCCGGTGATCCCAGCAGATGCGAGCAATATTTCTAAGGCATCTGTGGTCAAATACTAGTAGCTTACGAGCATCTTCTACTCTTAAAAACCATGTTTTGCAGCCGTAAAGTAGAACACTACAAAATGCCACACAGTATACTCGTTCCTTAATTGATAGACGAATATCTCATCATCACCATAGGTGACGTATGTTGGTAGTAGCCAAACAAGATTGTTGGATCTGTGCAGCGATTTCGTCAGATACCAACCCATTAAGGTCGATCAGATTCCCAAGATAATTGAGGTTGTCAACGTGCTCGACTACTTCACTCCCTATCCTTGGTTCCGTTGTTGACGCAGGCCAGTCCTGAAGCAATAACTTGCATTTAGAGGAGGAGAAGCGCATCCTGGCATTGTTACTCAGTGCTGCAAAAAGACGTAATTTTATCAGAGTCTTCACTAAACATGACTATATCATCTGCGTGCTCTAAGTCGATAAGTGGACTTTCTGGTAGGAGATAAATGTCCGAAGATTCAGTCGACGATAGCGTTATTAACATCAGTAGGTCTATGATGAAGTTAAACAAAATGGAGAAAGTGGACAGCCTTGACGGACACCACTTGAGGTTGCAAAATCAGATGACAGTTCGCCATAAGCTTTGACTTTACGGATAGTGTTCGAGTAAGGAGCCTTTACAAGGTTTATTTACTTCTGAAGTACACCTTTCAATAACAAACATTGCCACAGAACCTCTCAGTCAACAAAGTCAAATGCTGTTTTTAATTCAAGAAAGTACACTATTGTCGAACGCCGATAAGCATGCCTATGTTTTAGAACCTGACGAATGGTGAATGTGTGGTCGGCGAAGCCACCACCAGGTCTGAAACCAGCCTGATTTTCACGTGTTTGCAGTTCACGAGTCTTAGTTAGGCGTCCGAAAATTATCGAGGCTAGTATTTTAGATGCTATATTAGTTAAACTAATCCCTCTATGGTTGTCACAGGATGATTTTGACCCTTTTTTAAATATTGGGACGATAAGTGATTGTGACCAGTCAGAGGGGATTACGTCCAACTCCCAGAATTTAGCTAAAATATTAGTCAACCTAATCGCTAAGACTAGACCACCATCCTTAAAGACCTCTGGAACGTATCCATCTGAACCAGCTGCTTTTCCTCGTTCCAGATTGATCATTGTTTTCTGAACTTCAGCTAGCGTCGGGGGACCTACTTCAATGTCTCATTCAGGCTGTTTGGGAATGGTGGGTAGTTGTAGATTGGCTGAACCGCGCCTTAAAATGTTCCACCCATCGTTCTAAACGTCTGTACTAGGAGCAGTTAAGTGTCGTCTTTTTCCGAGATAGTCTCACACTTCTATTAGTCTGAAAAGCTGTCTTGTGTTACCTACAGCCATCTTTTCCATCTGTTTTGCTTTCGTTGTCCACCACTGCTTACGGTCGTCTCTTAGACTTTTGATAACCTAGAACAGGGGTCGCCATGTTAGACGATGTCTCTCCTTATGCTTAAAATTAGTTTGATTGGAATAAACGATTGTCTGAACACAGTTGCAGCAGAACATTGATCTGAACCTATGCTGCATGAATCATGTTTTTCAAACATACCGAGTTAATATACGAACCAAACAAACCACATCGTACCATAAAATAAAAAATAACATTTGTATGGGAGCTAGCCAAAAGTGGCTGTAAGTGTGAGAGACTGTAATTAATAGATCAGACATAACTCAAGAATGGCAAATCGTATAATAATAGTCTCTGGGTCGAAATAAAGCTTATAATAAGAGGAAGATGAATATTTATAGTTTAGCTGCTTGACAATTATACAGTAAAAATGTACGTATCATATTAGTCCATAGATCTCAAGAGTTACCATTCATAATTCTCGTCAGGATATAACATTTTTCCACTGTTGTTACTAGGTGTTTTACATATTTCTGCCTGTCGTCTCCAATGCTCCCCTTCACTTGCTTGTTTACTGTAGCGTATTAAGCTTGTGCCTTCTCTCTTGTTCGGCTGTTGTCAATTGCTGTCCAAATTATACTTGCAGGATAATACTCCGGAGAGTATGATATTCAAACTATCACAAAGATTACCTAATTAGACTCCTTATAAAATTGGTATGTGTTAGTGAAAGTAAAATATAATTGCTGACTATTAAATATGTGACTTCCCTTCATCTCATAGATTTCTACTCCGGAATCACTGAGATTATCTGCTTGTAATCATGTTGAATAAAGTATTATTTAGTATTATTCTGGTTCTCTATCCTGTTTCTAATATAACGTGACTAGTCTTGTTATCGTAGTATACTGGAGAGTGAGGAATATATCTTAAACAATTCGTTGTATAAAAAATAGAACTATGACGGTATATTTCATATAAATCCTTAAGAATTCCCATAAACGGTTTCTAGAGTAACTTTTCGGAGTTCTGGTGAGAAGCCATGACCATTAGAGTTCAATCCATGTTGGCTATATAAGGCCGCAGAAAACAATACAAGATGGTCACGCAATATCGTGAATTGCTTAAGGTTTGTCAATGATACCACTGGATGCCAGCTCAGTGGTTAAGCGTTTGCTCGCAATCTCAAACGTCTTGGGTCGGATCACCGTTGTCGGGGTCGTGGATGCTCACTCCTGAGTAGTCCAACGTTAGGACGAAATGATTGTTCAGTTCTTTCAGGTTTAAAATTATGATCTAGCTTAAATCGACTTATAACTTCAATTATCTTTCGCTCTATTTAGTACAATGCAATCTAATTAAAAGCGTACATATGTCAAGAACTTTATATAGTCCTTAAATAGCGTCGGTTGTTGTTTTAACAAGGGACTTAGTTATGCAGGAAACTGGATTTCCAAGATGTAATTATTAAAGTCGTAACTTATCGTAAAATTACACACCACGAGGGCACATATCCTGTTTGTTGGTAGATTCTTATGTTTTTATATTAACTAATTTTTTGCTCATCTCGTTTTTTATGTCCTTGATAAAAAACATTATACATGCGTTTGAGTATTGTGTAGCGTCGACTAGGTGGATATTTTTTGTTTATCTGGTTATTTACCGAGTTGACTCGCGGTCAGTCTTTTGTGAAATTGATAATCTCAACATTATCTATGACTGATTAGTAATAAGAAATTTCTGTTACAGTGATGTCAATCTATAAGCGAATTGTAGCATCAAATATCTATACATAGTAATGAAAAATACTGGTTTATCGAAAAATGATCCTGAGAATAGATTAGGATGCTTTTAAGCAAGCGAAATTATAAATCAGCAATCCAATCAACTCTGTCAACTGGAATACAAACCATATCTGTGTTGACTGTTGAAACCTTAATCGGCGAAATGACATTTGTTCTCTAGTTAAATGATCAATCGAATTCATCATAAGTCTATTTCAAAATTTTCAGTTAATAAGGTCAACTGAGGTTCGTGTTATCAAATAACTAACACTTGTATATATCTACAGGAAAGCTAAAAGTTCAAATTAGATTAATTATTTTTTACAAAATGTCCATAATGCTAAAGTTGCAATGCTAACTTCCCGTAGAATAAGATGAAAACAGCAAGCAGCTGTTCAATTCCCTAGAAGAGCAGCTGACATTATTCTTCGTAATTGGTGTCATAAATTACTCAATATGATATTGAAATGATTACTTATTTAAATAAAAGAAATTACTTGGAATTATGATGTAAAAAGAATTTTGTTGAAAAGTTAGACAACAAATAAGCAAGTTTTGAGAAACGTTGAAAATGAACGTTTATGAATCTACAGACGTTTGAAATATCAATAAAATCAAAATCTTCATTTATTCCAAGAGGTTTGGTCAAGTTAAAGTGATCTCAAATACTTTTATACTTTAGATGCATATAACTACAAATGAAGAGAAGTAACCTAGTT